CCGCGGCGGGACTGCGCCCCCTCTCCGCCCCCCTCCTCGGCCGTAGCACCCTGACACTCTCCTGGGAGGGTCACCCCAAACTTTCACATTGCCAAGTTCATCTTCCTTCGGTTCTCCCCGGCTGCGGCTCAGACACACACACCCCCGTGGAATCAACAGCTGGCTTGCGAGCATCCCTCACGTGCGGTGGCCCAGGCGGAGACACGGGTTGTCGCTCTCCGTGAGAATGGCTTTTAGAGCGAGGCATGGTTACTGGAAGGGCACGGTTCTGGCTTCCATTTGCACCATTTTCGTAACTGAACACTTTGTGTGCTCGTTTCCTCACTTACGAAGTTTTGAATTGCAGGGTTTTTTCCTCTTCCTTTAAATTCTTCAGCCGAGCTTGGACTCGGCTTTTGTGCTGTTAACTGGTGAGAATCAGTGCCTGCCAAGGACAGGATGTACCGTACCTGCTCTGGGAATTTATGCTCTCCCTTATTTTCAGGGGTACCCCAATCTGCCAGTTGCAGCCAGTGGAAAGATGCCCCCCCCTTGGACTATTTAGCATCACCCCCAGCGAAAAGAGGATGATTTCCCCAGGAACTATTAGGCTGAGGGGAGAGATGCCTCCATCGTCGGGAACAAGCGTGGTTTGCTGGGCCATTTTAGCCACATCGGTAGCCCACGTCACATTTCTCAAGTGTCAAGTAGAGCCGGGATGGCATTAAACTCAAGTGATACGTGATGGGGAAAAATTCTTCTGCCTCAAGCTTGAGCAGCAAGAGCACAGCCCTCCCCCTCACTCGTTTCCATTCCTTTACAAGTGAATTAAAGAAAGAGTCCTTTTCTCTGCTCATCAGTTTAGCATCAAGCACCTGATGAGCAGATTTTCAGCAACTTCTCACCTCGATAGCTTGATTCTCTCTGCCTTAGCAAAGCAGCAGCCATTATCACCAGCCGTCGCTGTTCCATGGAACCTGTGGAGCTCCTGAGCCGTCTTGGAAATCAACCCGGCAGCTGCTTCCCAAAGCACAGGGCTGGGGGGGACTTGCAGGGCCTGGGAGAAGGGCAGCCGATCCCATGCAGAGATTTAGACGGGTGGGGGGAGCTTGAGAAAGGGCTCTGTTTGGATGGCTTATGGGGGTTGTGTCAGTTAACCCACTTTTCTGAGCTTGTACAAAACAGAAATTAGCTAACCAGAATTGTGTAACGTAAGCCCCATAATATCTAAGCAGGGTTACAATGAACCATGCTTCTTGCACAAACTCAGGCTTTAAAGGATCAAACTTTGACTTAAGGCACTAACCTTGGTGGTTTGGGTGAAGAAGCCTGGGGCTTTCACCCAAGAGGAATTGAGCAGAAACCCCATTCAGCCCTGCCCTGTCCACTACCAGATCCTTTTATCTAGGAGAAGAGAAGCAAGTGGTTTGGAACCCCAGCTCCATCAGAAGCCCATTGTTCCACTGTAGGAGGCTGCAAGTCCCCTGTTCCAAAACAGCAGAGCTGCCTTCCCAAAGAGGCTTTGGATGGTCAGCCCACATGCTCCGCCTCGGTGGCTGCCAGGAAGGGTTGAGTCACTGGGCAGAGTTGCCCTGAAAAGATCCTCTCAATTAGCAGCCCTTCTTTCCTCTCTAGCAATGAACACCCGTTCACTTAGACACAGGAGCTAGGAAGGACTCACAGGTGGGATGCAGAAGAAGTCTGTTCTCTTTCAGAGACCCCCAAAGAATTAAACCATCCCAGATTCCTACATTTTACTGGACACCGACGTGCTTTGCTGCAGGACAGATCACGGTTACGCAGTCGGGAGCTCCAGGGCTTCCGCTGCAGGGAAGCCCTGCAGGGCCACTGGGTCTCCCATCGAGACACAGATGGGCTCGCATAGCTGCCCTGCCCACAGGCCGGCCCGTAGCTTGGAACAGCCCACCCTGGGAGTCGCTTATCGGGTGGATTTTGCCGCAGCCCCAATCAGCTTTTTAAACCCCAATTCCAGGTCTGAGCCTGTGGGAGTTCTCTCCCTCCCCCATCAAGGGGTCCCCTGGAGTAGAAGATCAAAGAAATCAGGCCGAGCTCTGTGTCAAACATTTATATTTATAGCAAAAATAGGCTTTACTCTCTTCCCCACACAATGTTTTGTTCCCACCCCCCAAAACATTTACACAGTAAACAGGTCAGCTGCTGCCCCGTGTGCTGAGCCAGGTCCCACCCATGTCCTCTGCCAGTTGCCCCTTCGTTAGCCATTGACCAAGCCCCCTCCTGTTGCAGTTATTGATCAGCGGCCCAGCCAACAAGGGCCCCCCGTCTGCCCAGCGGAAGCATCACTGTAGCCCAGTCCCGTCAACGGGAGGAGGCCCAGCGCAGAAACTCCCTCTTCGGAACAAGACAAGTAGGACCCCCGAGCAGCGACAGGAAGGGGGGGGAGGCAAGGAGCAAAGCCGAGGCAAGCTGGACATCTGCACCGCTCGGAGGGGAAGCGCAAGTCAGAGGGGGCTTGGGGGGGTCGGCCAAGTGCCAGTAGCACGAAAGGCGGCAGGGGGGCAGCACACTTGCAGGGGGTTGACTTTGGAGGCAAGGAGGGAAGCAACCTCAGGTTAAGGTTGCTGGTTAAGAGCCCTGGGGGGGGTCAAATCTGGCTACCAAGGACAATTTGGATGAAGGAGAGGGGGCGGAGACACTCCCTGAAAGAAGTGCTAGAGACCCTTCCTTCCTGTTCCCCCCACCCCCAGTGCAAGAGAAGGCCAGCAGAAAGCGTCCCTGCTCTCTCTCCAGAAGCCCCCAGTCCAGGGTGGCAGACCCCCTTCCCAACCCTCCAAGGACAGGCCAGTAATAGCCTACGAGCAGCAGGAATGGCACGAGACGAGAGCCCCCCCCCGCAATACTGTAACGGGGACTAAACTGAACAGAGTCGCATGAGTCGACCGCGGAAGAAGCAGGAATGACCTCCGTCCCCTCCGCCAAGTACGTGCAACCCATCCCTCCCCTCCACGGACACCCACAACCTGCGGAGGAGCAAAGCCACAGCCGGCTTGCTGCGGCCACGTTGCCCACCAGCCCTCGGGTTCTCAGCGAGGGAGGCCAGAGGGAAGACGCCACTTTTCACATCTTGGAGGGTGTCAAGTAAACGTGGGGGGACACTGCCAGAGTCCCCCCCCCCGTGCTCTAGGAGACCATGTAGTGCGTGATGGCACGGAGCGCATAGAGGAGCTCGGCCTGCAACCGGGCCTCCAGGATGAGCAGATTCACGTGGACCTGCAAGAGCAAAGAGAAGACGACCTCCAGCCCAGCCGAAAGAAGCCTGCAGCCCTCCGCCACCCAAGGAGTCGGCTGTGGCTGGAGAGGAAGCGCTACACGAGTGGAGGAGGGTAGACCTGGCCTCAGCCTTCCGTCCCAGAAAGGGGAATGCATAAGAACCTCCAATGGTTTTGCTGGGCAGAAGCGGGCTGGGCTTTCAAGATCCTGTTCTTGACTGAATAAAGACCATTCCTAGAATCCCTGCCGTGCCCAGAGGGCTGACAACACACCACTGTGGAGGGCAGCGGGTCTTCCAAGCTTTGGGGGGAGATGGGGGGAGGGCCGGGGTCACAACCCACTGAGCTAACAGGCCAAACACAGGCTAAGGGACCCAATTAGCAAAGCTCATCCCAGTAAATGCCTCAGGGACATCAGCTCCCTGCAGTCATAAAGCTGAACAAACTAGCTAACTTTTTCCCAAAATGAGGCAGCCCAAGAATGCCTTTGGCCAAGGAAGAAGGTGGCACGCTGTAGGAAGAAACGGGGCAGGCTACAGATCCCACCCAGGCTTCTAAACCAAAGCGCGTTCGTGGTAAAGACCCGGTAAGGCCTCTCGTTGGCAGAGGCCCCTTCCCACTGCACGCAAGCCAGACTTGCCCAATCTTGTGCTCTCCGTTGCCTGGTGCCACCTCCCAGAATGCCATCCCAGCGACTGCACCCTCCCTGGTACCTCCACTGCAAACCTGGTTGCTGCAGCGTCCCAGGCGGCAACAGAGGCGCCAGAATTAGTAACCGCAAAGAGCCGGATGCCCTACAAGGTCCTCTAAAGTGAGGAACAGGCGCTTCTGTCAGTGGGCAGCATCGACACACGGGGGGGGCACCAAAATACATGTACAAAATACTTCTAAAAATTATAAGGCCAAAACCTTTCAAGGTAGTGCTATCATGGGAAACTGCGGCCAGAAGGACGACCCAGCGGCATCACCACAGAACGGTGCTGGGGAAATTCCACCACCAGTCCCTGCCCTGGCTCTTGCTCAAAGCTGTCTGTGCTGCCAAAGGCAATCACAAAATTTAGCTGTGCCTCGTAGAAAGGGTGTTTTTGTTTCCTGAATGCCCCGCACTCAAATTCGCCGGATGGTTCCAGGTTCTAGCCCCAAGCAAGGGCTTTCTCATTTTTCCCATGTGCTCCACACACACAACCCCACCTTTTCGCTGTGCTTGAATTGTTTCCAGAAGCGCTCAAACATCTGGGGATCCATCTTCTCTGGAGAACAAGTCACAGTTTTGATGTACAGCTTGAGAGTCCGGTCCAGGAAATGGTTGACCTCTGCATAGTCATAATCATCGTATCTGGAAGGGAGAGAGAAACAGAATCCAGATTTAGCACCAAAAGAGACTCCCAATTCATCTTTAACACGGCTCGTTTTCGGTATGCTCTGGCAGACCAGGAATTCTTGGGCCAATGTTTAAAAAGTCACAGCAAGTCGTTCACAAAGACCAGGGAAAGAATTCCATCTGAAGCCCCACATCTCCAAAGGCCGTTAAGCCACCGGATGCTTCATCATCCCAAATCCGCCCTTGTTCAGTGAGCAAATTATGGAAAGGCTCAACTGGGCTGGTTCAATTCTGCGAGAGAGGAGCACAAGGCTCCCAAACCCCAGAAGCGACGGAGGAGCACCTGATGCCGAATGTGCAGTGCACGTAGTTCCAGATCCCTCGCTTAAAGGTGGCGTGTTCGCAACCCTGCCGCTTGGCCATCGAGCAGCTGTGAAGGCTGTCGACCTTACGGAATTTTTCGTCCAGCAGATGCCCGATGTCAGAGTACAACCGATTCACCAGCGAGAAGCCGTGGTCCTCCCAGGAGTAATCCTGCCCAGGTGAGAAGGAGGGAGGATCGCTCAGGGAAAGCTAAAGCAGGGGAGGTCAGCAACCTCCCGAGGAAGGGGAGGCCAGCCGAGATCCTCGGCAGTCTTCCGGGACTGCCAGGGGCGCCCCACCTGCACACGGAAGATCTGTGGCTGGTCCTCGTTGCACGGTGCAAACTCCTGGTAGCCAAAGCTGGGGTCCAGGACATAGCAGGAGAGATCTGCAGCACCAGAGAATTCCCCGTCGAAGCCTGGAAGACAGAGCGTGCAGCAAAAGTGCTTCCGAGGAGAGGAGAGGAGAGGAGAGGAGAGGAGAGGAGAGGAGAGGAGCTGCCTGCGAGCAGGACGGGAGCTCTGCAGGGGAGATGGCGTGCGAGCATCTCTCAACGGCCTCCAGTCAGACCCCAGGCACCAGACCCAACGTTTCCCGCCCCTACCAGGAGGCTCGCAGGGCGGTCGCAGGCAAGGCCTTCCACAGCCTCTCCTCCTGGACTGAGGGAAGATCTCAGCTGGGCGTTACCTTCCTCCCGCTCAGCAGGCAGCCTCAGCTCTTCCCGGGCCTCGTTTCCCACCTGCAGCCGGTGAACGCGCTCCCGGAGAGACTCCAGCTCCACACAGGAATCCAGGGACTGCAGCGGGGGAGATGTGCAGCAGACGGTTCTTTCCTCTGGGTCTAGGAAGGGCACCCGTGCCCTGCCGCCACGGCCTGGGAGGCTGCACCCCGCGCCCACCGCGCCCCCCCTTCCACTCTTCTGGGCCCACACCGGGACCCGAGGCACGCACCCGCTTGCGGTTCAGGTGCAGCAGCTCCTGGCTGCAGCCGTTGCCCACGTCGCAGAAGCAGACACTCCCCGGGAGGCCCAGCTTCAGCAAGCCCCGTCCCTCTGGGCCGGCGTCCTGCTCGCAGCCACAGCCGAAAGCAAAGCTGGCCAGAGCGTGGTAGTGGGCGAGCAGCACAACCGCGTGGACCAGCTCGGCCAGCGACCAGCTCTGCTCGCTGATCTTCAGCAGCTTCTGCAAGGTGTGTGCCAAAGAGAAGCGAGCGCTGAATTTCACCAGCGACTGACACCCACAGCTCCCCCCCCATCAAAATTTATCTGCCACAAATGACACCTGTTGGAGTGGGCACACGTGGCCACAAGCACAGCCTCCCGAGCAGGAGCCACAAGTTCCCAAAGACCCCCAGATCATGAGCCAGCTCCACATGGGGAACCCAACCGCAACCAAGCAGAACCCAGGAGGAAACGCCGGCTTCCAAAACTTCTGCCGCTGCGTCTTGCTGGGGCTAAGCTTAAGCCCAGGTCTCAGCCGTTCCTCCCCACCCAGACCTAAGAGCCTCTGACACCGGGAAGAACCTCAGCTGCATCTCCCGCCGGGCCACGGGTTGAGATGGGGAGGTGATACCGGTAACATCCGAGCTCCTGCTGGTGGACCACCTGCCCCAGCGGCCTCGGGGGTAAACGGGGCGGGAGAGCCCCATGGCACCATCTGATTGAAACTCTCCTCTCATAACTGTAACACCTTGTTACAGCCATGTCCTCAAAGACTTATTCCACACGCTTATTTTTATGCGGGGGCAGGGAGAGCCCATTCACTCATTCTTAAAACTTGTGTTGACCCACGGAAGCTATCTGGGATGGAAGAATTTGAGCCACGGAAGAGCACCCTTTCCAGGGCAAGGACAGGGTGGGGTGGGAGAGAAATGCCCAGCCTTCATTCCCTTGAACTCCCTTTGCAAACAGCCTATGCAAAACAGAGACCCTGCCTCCATTTCCCCTGACTTGTCACCCTCAGCACCAGTCCCAAAACATCCAGAAGATGGTTGACCAGGCAGGAGCTTGTCTGCATTATCTGGGTGGAAGCATTATTAGTGCTGATCATGGGGGGCAGGCACTGTGGACACAGACATCAGAGCAGCATCCAGATTGCCATAGGGGAAAAATGCTGCCCCTCCACGGGCCCTAAGTGTGCTCTCCACCCTGGTCTATTACCTCAATGTGCTCTTTGCAAACAAGCCAGGGGCGGTGGGCCAAGACCTTGTTGATTTCACTGAGCCGGCGGAGTTTGGGGGGGATATAGTCCAGCCCTCTCAGCCACAGGGGGTCACCGCCCACCCGCAGGAACTGCAGCACGTGAAGATTCACCAAGTACCGACACCGATGCCGGGCGGCTGCCTGCAAGAGACACACGAGGGCCGTGGTGCTAAGATCAGCAGGGAAGGCCCCCAAAGCCAGGGACCTTGCTCAGCATGGTCCCATCCTGCCCCGTGGGATCGGCTCTCCAGCTCAGAATCCCACCCAGCGCCCCCAACCCAGAGAGTCAGTCCAGCACGTCCTGATCCCTGCTTGGCATGGTTTCCATCACAGCCCTCCTCCCTGCTTTTGCTTGGAGGGGGCGACGGAGACTCCGTGGCCTATCTTCAAGGGTTCTGCAGGGGACGAGCACACACGTCCCATCACGATGGATTTACGAGACATCATTCCACAAAGGAAACTGAGCCAGCCGCAGCTCCAAAACAACCATTTGTTGGTTTTGAGTGGCAAAAAGATGGGGGGGGGGCGCTCAGCAGTGGTAGCAAGCAAAAGGAGCGGCAAGCAGGCAGCCCCCAGCCCCACAAGCTGCATGCAGTTGGCCCCTGGCTGAGCTGCCTCTGGCAACGCCGGAAGAGGAGGCTCTCGCTGCTCGCCAGGACAGGCGCCACAGGCCCCAACGCTCAGGACTCCGTGGCTCGGCACTCACCATGATGGCGATGAAGTGGCGGCAATCGAAGGGCAGCGGCCCGTCCATGTGCAGCAGGTAATGCTGCATCCGGAGGAAGCTGTCCAGGTAGTGCGGGTGATAGCCCATCTGCTGGGCGATGGCCTCGATCCGCCCCCTGCTGGCCAAGGCCTTCACAAAGAGCAACTGGGGAGGCCTCTCCTTGTCGGCGGTGCTCATCTTGGCCAGCTAGATGGGAAGGGCAGAAAAGGGAGAGATCTTGGGGCAAGCCCCGCCAGACTCTGGGCGATCAACGGC